TAAGAGCCCCATATAATAAGAGGGAGCCTATTGCCATATACCAGGTACATTTCCAGACTCCGTGCTGCAACTGAGATTTTTTAAAATCGAACCCGAGACTCCGGCTGTCGCACTTGCGACCACTCTGCCAACGAGGCAGTCTGATAACTGTACATTGAATATTTTTATAAAATAATGCTTTGGGCGTGGTCTTCAATCGGTACCGAAGCCAAAAATATAGATTTTAGAATTTATGTCTGTTTGTTTATTTGTCTGTATGTAAGTCCGGGATGATCTCATAAAGTGCTGCACGGATTTACATCAAACTTTGCATGAATATTACTAACGGATCGGGCCAACATATAGGCAACATATTATCACGCTATCACCTAAGGGAAAGGAGCTGTGAATCACTCTTCCACGCGGACGAAGTCGCGGACTCAGTTAGTATAATAACAATTTCCAAGTAAAAGATACCTTTTTTTTAACGTGTGGAAATCCTCATGGATACCCTTTGTCTAGACAATGAGCGTTAGACAGCAGGTTATGTCGGACTCCAACCGACTAAAACCACACACTCAATCCCAGAAAACAATGAGAGAGTCACTGGGTACTCGAATGAACGAACTCGCCTGCGAAGTAAAAGATACCTATCGAAAGAGACCATTCAGCCACCGAGTTAATTGAACCAATACAATTGTACCAAAGCAAATCAAAGTTATATTGTATATCAGTGTACCTTGATATAGTCCATTAGCATAGTGTCTAGTACATTTTGTTTCCACGAAACTAGAGCCCTCAGACCTTCAACAATCATCTCTGGTGTCACCTGGAACCAGAAAGCAAAAACTTTAAATGACAACAATACAAATACCTAATAATAGAAGTACCTAAGATGAAGTCGGCGAAATGAGCTTGAGCGCATTCTCGCCCGTTATGCCATGCCACATGTCAGACCGCGATCGAGTTCAAATACATAACATAACATAACATCACGCCTTTTATCCCCGAAGGGGTAGGCAGAGGTGCACACAGAGGTAACACCCACTTTTCACTATTTATGTTATGAGTCCCATGTAATAGGGGTTGAGCCTATTGCCATATACCGGGCACATTTCCAGATTCCGTGCTACTACTGAATTTTTTTTTAAAACCCAGTAAGAGATACTTTACCCGACCCGGGAATCGAACCCGAGACCCCTTACCCGGTAGTCGCACTTGCGACCAATTGGCCAACGAGGCAGTCAAATACATCTTTTAAATTGAAAGTTATAATACGGTAAACACATGTAGTCAAATTCAATACTTTTATTGAAAAGTCAAAAACGATACTTTTCCAAGAATTTTGTATTGGATCGCAACTTATGACATCATCATATTTCTGCGTCAAATAGCCTACTTATTAGGTACCTACCTTAAAATTACCGAGAAAAATCCAAAAGTAGGTAAATTGTCAAATCAATGATGAGAGTATGATTATTTTTTAATCATTTATTGCATTTAAAAATTGAAACAATTTATTTTAAACCTAGGAAACTAGCCAATTATGTGGAATAAGCTAACAGCATTTATCATCATTGGTCGCGAGTATGTCCACTACGCAACTCAAAATAAGAATACAGCTTCAGATATGGCTGTGTGCCTCTCAAATTAGATAATTTGGGAATAATTAATGATGGAGACAGATGTCTCCATATCATTACTTGGTTGTTATCACCGAGCACGGCATCGTCATAAATTCAAGCCATGGATAAGAAGTCATTGAGTTTAATGTTTCTCTAATAAAAATATCTCCTGCCAAAGAGCATAAGGATTTGTGATAAACGATCACCAAGAAAAATATATTATTTAAACTGTCAAACACCAAGCGGTCACCGGTGACCGCTTGGTGTTTGACCTATTATTCTATAATTGTGTATAAGAAGGTACTCAACGAGTTAATACAGTTTCGTACTTATAACTTACGTCACAATGCAACGGCAGCGGTGCACTAGTAGAGTCAGCTAATGCAGAATTGGTCTTGATGAAGAGAGGAGACAGCATTTTACTGCGGGATCCGTACTGAGCTTCCTTTGAATGCTTTGATACATTAGCTGAAGAATTCAACAAATTGGCTGCGTCAGACATCTGAGAGCAATCGCATTCTGTGTTTTAACGTTGCCCCACACCAGGATTTTCCCCTGTGTCGTGGGTGCGTTTACAAACATACAAATCCACATACACAATAACGCCCAGACCCGAAACAATAATTTGTGGATCACACAAAGAGTTGTTGATCACACGAGCGGGATTCGAACCTGCGACACGTTGCACGACAGCCGGTTGCCATTCGTTCAGATTTTATATTTGTGTACACATGGCCAACGGTGAAGGAACCTGGCTTCGATCAACAATAACAACTAGATAAAGGGTTACGTACAAAATCAAGCTCCAGTTCTGTCCGTGTGAATAATAATAGTAAAAAAATAACAAACAGAGAAAAATGTTTTAAAATAGTTTTAAGTTCAACCTAATAACAACCATGGCACCTAATTATAAAGTCATAAATCGTCAAAATATTATCTAATACTTACGACCATTCGTCACATAAGACAAGAAAAGTATTTTCTTACTCCTGTCATGTAGAAATTAAAAGACATAAGTTATACAATATCTAGTTTGAATTCAACCTTAAGGTCGAACAAATAAAGATAATTTTTCCATTATTGTCTTGCGATCTATATCGTTTTGTTTTGTTTCGTTTTGCTTCTTCAAATTTCGAATTTCGCTACAGGAGGTATGTATGGAGTCGCGTTGGACACTAAAATAATTTTATAATATGAAAATTAACATTTCGGGATCTTAGTATACATCACTAATTTTTATTAGCGGTACGTTTTTGTGTATGATATGTTTATTTACTTTATCGTTAAAAGTCTAAGTCTAAGTCAAAATTATTTATTTCAGTTATACCAGGAAGGCACTTTTGAACAACAACAATATAAATTTAAAAGTGAAGCTATTTGCTCATTCCAAGGTGTAGATTCCTATGGAGAAGAACGAGCAAGAAACGATACAATTTCTTATTTTTTCAATACAAATCGACTCCATGCATCCACTGTTCTGTTTATACAAATGTTGGCGAGACTTGGCCAAGGAATCGCCAACACACGCACAAACATTGGTGGCGTTGGTTTATAATTGATAATTTTGTCTAATTTGATATTATTTACTAGTTTAAAAGCTTAAAATATAACTTATACTTTATGTACTTATCAAAAGTAAGACACTCCGGCCGTTATACTGCTTTTTCGGTTGTTATTTTTGCAACTTGCAATTACTCGTGAGACGTGAGTACGTTGGCCGTGTTTGGAGCATACTAAACAAAATAAGAGCTCACTTCTCAAGTGAGCTCTTATTTGTCGAGACGATTTTCTTGCGCCGACCCGATATCTAGTTGTTATTGTTGATCGAAGGAACCTGGGCTTATAATTTCTAGTTATACCAGTATTGAGCAAGCGTGGTAATTGATGCTCAAACCTTTTCTGTGCGAAAAGAGGCTTTTGGGGTCAGCAGTGGCCAATTATAGGTTGTTAATGTGTGGTGTGTACACGCCACTTATTTATTCTTTCGTTCTTTTTAGATTTGGGTTGCACCCGGTGTATGGCAATAGGCCGAGTGCCTGTTATACCAAACATAAAGTTTTATACCTATATGTGCCTCTGCTTAACCTATCAGGGATTAAAACGTGATGTTATGTTGATAAATACGAACTTTTCCTACTACACAAATAAGCCGCCGCCTTGTTGGACAGTTTGATGTACGAAGAGTCACAACAATTGCTTACTATCAGATGATCCATCTTCTCATTTGTCGAGCTGTCCCATAAACATCCCAATTAATTTTCTCAGCCATAACACGAGACCAACATGAGGAGGAGATTTGAGAGCCTTCATTTACATTTATCCATTAGCTATTGGCACCAGAGTCTAAACATTGGAAACAAAGGATCATCAACGGTGATTTAAATCGCCACTTACTCAGACAAGTACAAATAAGATCCAATGCAATGTTTTGACAGGCGGTGGAAGACATCTGGCGGGTACAGTCGTTAATAGTCTGAACTGTGCCCATTACGGGCTGCCTCCACGAGCGAGAGAATCGCGACGAGTCCGCCCTTATATCGTCGGATGATCTCCACGAACGAGCGATAATTCCGCTGCGTATCGTCGCGAATCGTTACGGTATCGCGGCGATTCCGCGGCAACTCGTAACGGTATCGCCGCGTTTCCTTGACGTCACACTTGAGGTAATGCTGGAATGACGCTGCGAGCGCGCGGCGGTCGCGTTGCTAGTCGCGGCGGGCTAGCGACGATGTAATAACGTTTTGCGCGCTCGTTGCCACTCGTCGCATCGCGGCGAAGATATCGCCGTGTGGAGACGGTTCCATAGAGAGTGTATAGAAAAACGTGGCACGGCGATAATATCGCCGCGATTCTCTCGCTCGTGGAGACAGTCCCTTAGCGATAATTATAGGACTACCGTATAACATAGGAATATGCGAAAAGAGGACCTCTCACTTCACTTTTTCTACTTTTTGTAATTACCTATGTTAAAAGTTCAATCCTCCCACCCCCATCCCCAATCCCAGCTCCTCATTACCCAAATCCGCAATCCCGAATAGACTAGCAACGTACTTGGTACTGTTGGTACTACAATGTACCATGGGCAGTGCTGATTGCTTACTATCAGGTTATCGCGAGATAGCTATCATTTGATCAGCGATGTAATTTGAGATAAAACTTACAAAGCTTGAAATACTGTTCACCCTCGTATTTCAATTGCCGAGCGAATGACTTTAGCTTCGGCTTCCTCCTCCACGTCCTTGTCTTCTCAACCTTCCTTTTTGCATGTACAACCTTCCTTTTGGCGAACCTTTTGGCTAATCTTACAAATTTCTTTCGGATCGTTCTTTTCTTTAAATATCTGATGACAAACCGCTAGTTCTAACTCGAGGATTAAATCAAACAATAAAGAAAAACAAAAACTGGTTTATTACAAATAAAATCAAAAAATCATTTTACATGTCAAAACACAAAGTTGTCTACCTTCGACGGCAACAGCGGTGTCCACAATGTAAGCATCCTGGAGTTCTGGACCCGCTGCGGGAAGACAGTCTCGTGAATATCGTAGACACGGACAGATCCCGCACTTTCTTCTCGATCGGCATTCGTGCTCTCCTGCGAATCGTAGTTCTCCTAACTTGACGTCGTGTGTAGGATCGTCGTCTCTTTTCGACTCTTCCCTGTCTTCTTGCTCTCTTTTTCCTCTCAGGTACCTTCGGTTCTCTTTTAATGATAGGCTTCGGTTGTTCAGGGCGAGTATCCGCCATCTCTATTCGACTCCTGGCCGAATAAGTTGCAGACACGGACGACTCACTATTGGAAGCATGCTCGTCCTGCGGTCTCTCTTCATTGTACAAGTCATTAGCGGAATTCGTCCGAGTCTCTTTCTTACTTGTGGACGGCTGGTTCTCCTCCTTCGTATTTTCATCTTCCATTGCCAATTTCTTCCAAAGATAACTGATAATTTTGTACTTTAAACAATAAAAATCTCACATAGAAAATGTTGAAAATGTTCACCTGTCAAAAAGTCACAGTTATATTCTCACTTGTTTTGAATTTGCTCTTTTTGAAACGTGCCAGAACGAATGTTCTTTTTATGATAGAAAAGAGTTCGCTCGGCATGTTGCACGGTTGGTGGAAGAGGTTTTATAGTTTTACATTGATAGCAGGTTGTAGTGTGAACTCTAAATTCATAGACATATGACAGTTTATTTAAATCAAAACCTAGTTTAGAAGTAATTGTAGCTTAGTAGCTTATATTAAAACGCGTTTTTTTTTTTACAGATGTTGGTGCGGACTTAGCAAGACAGCGCATGGTTCGAACACCCAGACCGCCAACCCTGGGGAGGCATGGGTACCAGCTCGACATACACAGTCGGCTCCAACTGATGCCTATGGAACTGTTGAGTTTCAGGGAGGACCACATCCAACCAAAGCACAGGTAAAACTACCTAAATCTTAATAATCAAATATTAATTATGCAACATACTGTCGTCACTTTTTTGCACAACTTATCTTTCTATGCTAATTGGTTGATTTCATGAATGCTGAACCGCAAATGGTGCAATGAATACAACTGATTCTCTTTCCACAGTATGTTCGACTTTCTCACGACACAAGACCAGAGTTAATAGTGCAACTGCTAACAAGAGAATGGGCCCTCGACCGACCGAAACTGCTCATCACCATCCAGGGTGGCAAAGCAAACTTTGATCTTCAACCAAAGCTTAAGAAAGTGCTAAGAAAAGGACTGCTCAAGGCTGCAAAGACCACTGGTGCCTGGATATTCACTGGAGGCACTAATACCGGTAAATAACTATAATGCTTTATATTGAATGTGGATTAAATACCTATGTACTTTATTTTAATTTACAAATCAAATCCATCACTTACGATGTAAAAAAAGGATCTACTGATTGTATTGCCATACCTGTAAACACTGCTATTTTCTCATAATATTTAAATTCAATAGCACCTTTGCTGAACCTAGGAATCAACTCCATCATTTACGACATACAAAAGATGTATGATTATCATCTATAGTTAATAAAAAATATAGTATCCAAATGCCAGGAGACTTGCCAACCATTTTGTAAATAGCTTCTGCCGTGACGTCACTGCTTAGGTCTATAGATGTTCTTCCTTCGCGATCCAAATTAATCTGTCATACGCAGAAGGCTAGCTAAACTCACCCCCTTCCCTTTAAATAATATGATTTGGGGTTAAAATACTTTGAGCAAATGACTCGAATTTCCTAGAACTTCGTGGAAAATAAGAAAGAATTTCTTTGGCTGTGTAACCTAAAAATTATAGGAAATAAGTAACACCTTTTAAATACTATACTTCTCGAGATTTATTGAACTATTCTATCGTAATGATGCATCAAGAAAACGCATGCTATCAATGAAAAGATAAAACAAAACATAAAAATGAAGCTCTGTTATTAGCAATATTTCATTTATTATAAATCTGCTAACATATCGCCCCCATGTTCGATCTTCGATCATTTAAATTTGATCAAAACGGTATAAGATAATTTTATGCGTAAAATAAATTATATTCGGTTATTAATTAAAAAGTGTATGTTACGGATTTCGCAGTGTAGTTTAATGTGATACAGAGACCTGATTAATTAAACTGTCAAACACCAAGCGGTCACCGGTGACCGCAACCTATTGTTCTATAATTGTGTCTACAAAACCGGTACTCGACGAGTTAAATTTAAAATAAGCACGACAAAATAAGGTACATTTTACTGTACAATAACTGTTCTCTTTCTCTTACTCTCTCTTTTGAATGTGGGTATATAAAAAGACTGCACGGCTGGTGCAATGGCTGGGCAACCGGCTGCCGCGCAACATGTCGCGGGTCGATTCCCGCACGGAACAACTCTTTGTGTGATCCACAAATTGTTGTTTCGGGTCTGGGTGTGATGTGTATGTGAACTTGTATGTTTCTAAACGCACCCACGACACAGGAGAAAATCCTAATGTGGGGCAACATTATTTAAAACAAAAAGAGATTGGGATTTTTTGTGACGTTGAATAAAAGGCGGGAATAATATCATTTAGAAATTATTGAAGCTCGAAAATGTCAGTGGTTTTTATGTATGTGTGTTTAATGGGTTACCACGTTACCAGACTTATATATATAGGACAATGACAGATGTCCTTCGTGTAGTAGCAGTAGCCAGGTGTCACAGTCGATGTTTCAAGAGACTGAGTCCGCCTTTTCTTCAACGTCCTTGAGTTTACCCACATTTACCTAAATTGTTTAGTTACTTTTCGTATCTCTTACTCATTCCTTATTATACTAAAATTGATAAATTTCATTCCGGATTTGGGTGTGACTGTGATGCAATTGCGTTTGTGGTTGTGTATTTATTATTATAAGTACCCATCCACGATACAGGAGAAAATCCTAGTTCGGCTCAATATTTATTTAAAACAAAATATTACGAACGGAATACCATATAGTGCGTTGCAGGACCATGTTTAAATAAAACAAACTAACGCAAGTTGATAAAAATAGAATATATAACTATCCTATCCTATAAAATCGTCGCGGAGAACCTAACGAATAACCGGGGCTCCGGCTCGACGTGCAGGAGAAGGAACGGGGTGGTTTTTAGTCAGTAAGAGTCTGACACTCCCTCCCGCCTCATCCAGGCGGGAGCAGGCATTCGATGATTATCCCCCCTTAAAAAAAAATCCTATAAAATCCCGTTTCTCTCATTCTCGTAGGACTTTTTTCTGTCATAAGAATCTTCTCCTGACGATAACAAACACAACAAAAAAAATCAGCCAAATCGGGCTAGCCGTTCTCAAGTTATGGCGTGACAACGGGAAACGGTTTCATTTTTATAAACATATATAGAAAATACTCCTTCATCCATTGCCTCCATGCCAGTTTCGGCTACAGCGACCATTTCTTGACTACTGGCGTCTATCATAGGGCTCTCAAGTGGCTGGAAAATCCACCTTTGTTTTAAATTAAGTGTGGGAGAGCCATGCTTTGCCACGAAGGGGCCAGCGTGAAGCAACGCTTGCGTTGTGTTTCGTCGTGTGAGTGAGGTTACCGGAGGCCCAATTACCCTCCCCTTCCCCAATCGCCCCAATTCCTGAATGCCTAACGATCCTCAAACTCCTAATCCCCAAAAGACCGGTAACGCACTTGTAACGCCTCTGCTGTTCCAGGTGTCTATGTGCGACGCCGATTGCTTACCATCAGGTGATCCATCTGTTCGTTTACCGGCTTGTGCCATAAAAAAAAATCTTCCACAGTGGACACGTGAGAACAAACGGAGAGTGGAGGTCACTGGTGCGATAAAAAATATCAGACTTTGAGATTCATCGGCTTGCAAAGTTAGATGCTAAACGTGACGAAATAAACATAATAATAAAAATCAAATCGTGGAGTAATAACTTTAAAAACCCGACGTTGGATTGCCTTAAAGTAACTTAATATCCTTTGTTATTATTGGGGAACCTTTTAAGTGGCGTTGGGAATACTTTTAATTAAACTTTGGCGTTGATTTTTGACATTTTAAGAGCGTAGGTAGATGCCTACGCCATCATCTAAGTTATCTAACTTTTCAGTATTGTAAACACTTAGGCTTTTTGTGTACGAAGCCTTAAGAACTAATATTATAGTTATACATCTAAAAATATTCTAATAGTGTAATTCAACTTAACGTAGAACCGACTGATTTGATGATGAAAAAAACTAACGAATAGAATCACAACCCATACAAATTTACCGTAAAAAAGATACGACATCGATAAGACATAGACAAAGACACAAGATACGACATATGTATATACTCCCTACCTTAATTTTTTTACACCTTCATGTGGAACAATTGCTTTAAAAATAGTCCAGGCACTGTTACGCAAACTTTGTGCATTGAACTTGTAAAAAAAATGAACTTAGGAAGTGCCTAAGCCATATTTTTACACATTATCTACATTATCATACTTTGTTATCGGACGTGGGACAATTTTGATCCTCTTCATTAATGAGCAATTCACTTTCCCAAACAACTCATACCGACAACACAGATTTATTCTAAAGTCCACTTCGTATAACAGCTCGACTAAATGAAATTTCAGTAGCAGTAAGCATTTTATTCGCTTTGCTGGACGCGAACAGTTGACTCCAGTTTATAATACCCTAGTCTAGAAGTTTACCCACAGAGTTCTAGCTATGTATAGCATAATAATAGTGTTGTTAGTAATATTTGGTGGTTTTAAGGATGCCAAAGGGTCACTTTATATTCAACTATCCTTAACAAACTTTATAATTGGTACCTACAATTTATAATCAAGTGGAATTTGGCTTGAACGAAAATGGCTTATACGTTACATTTTTTAGTATTTTTTTTAAATAACAAATCAGAAGCAACGTAATTATTCTCCAGGTGTAATGCAGGTGCATGTAGATTTAAAATTCCACTTAGTTATTATGGGTGCATATCTAATAGTATAAAAAGCTACTGTCAGGAAGAAAATGAATTCATTTTCGATGCAATTTTTGGTATACATTCTTCATGTTTGTATTCTAATTAAATAAAATCAAATTTTGGATTCTCCAATAATAAATTCAATATAACATCACATCACTACATAGTATAAAACAAAGTCGCTATCTGCCGTCTGTTTGTCCCTATGTATGTTAAGATCTTTAAAACTACGCTACGGATTTTGATGTGGTTTTTTTAATAGATAGATTGATTCTTAAGGAAGGTATATATATATAATATCCGTGCGAAGCCGGGGCTGGTCGCTAGTCAGATATAATTTAAAAGAGACAACAAACACATAATCATTACTTCTCCAACAGGTGTGACCAGACAAGTAGGCGACGCGTTGCAGTTGGAGCGGTCGCAGCGAGCAGGTAGAGTGGTCAGCATCGGTATCGCACCCTGGGGTATCGTCGAGGGAGCCAACGAACTCATCGGTAGAGGCAGAGATGTCCCGTACCACGCGATAGCGTCACCAAGGTAAGAACATTTAGATATTTTTAAACGCCGACTTACTTTGAAGGCTGTTTTCTTTATATTAGCCACAATGCTACCGTACTACGTCTCTCTGGCTGCTGTATCGTAGGAAGTGGACTAATGAATTACGCACACAGCGCAGCAGCATTCTGTGATAAACCTAAATCCTTTTAAACTGGCGTTTGGCGCGTCGCGTTCCGCGCACGCTTCAAATAGCCATCAGACCACCACAGATGGGGCCCAATAAGGCTGATGCCTGTAACGGAGCCGCGGAAGGCCTAATGGGTTGCCGGGGCTCCGGTTCGAAAAGCAGGTGTAGAAACGAGGTGGTTTTTAGTAAAAAAATCCTTTTAAACTTCGACCTTTAACTCGCGTGGAAATTGTGGTAAACCCTTTTTTGAGACCCATTAGTCCACCAGTGAACTCTCAAGGGTTATTGATGATGATGACGATGACTGTTTACTGCCGAATATGAAGTTTCAGGTTCCACCTTTAAGTTGTTTAAATATCGAGTTATTTTCAAAATATCGGTGTTTTTCTTACACACTAAAGGAAAGCAAACTGTTTTACTTACTGACTGACTGACTGATTGTACACGAACATTATTCCTAATTGATAAAAATCTTCTTATTCAAGTTCACAAAATCAGTACACAAAATCTGAATACGAATCGTCTCAAACTCGTGACGTTGAATGACTATAAATTTACACGTTTTTAAATCGTCACATGAATTTTTACCGCAATAAAAATCCTTAATGTTTATTTAATCATATTGCAATATATACATATTATAATAGGAAGTATTACATACAACTAGTACAGTACATTACCCTGTTAGGAGGCAGCAATTTAACTTATAACCAACAGGTTTTGTAAAATCGATCAAAATATATTCGTTCCCCACTCCAGTACTCTTGTAATACAGGATTTGAGAGCCATTTGAACGTAACGTAAATATATACGGAACAAGAAACAAACAGGGTTGTATGTATTACAAACATTTGGTCCATCTCGACCACACGGCGAAGCTCTCTCGCTGCTCTGTTTACATAGGTCTTTACCCAACTACACTACCTATGTATGTGGGTACTATATACAGAGGTATATGCTACCTTGAATGTTTTAGGAGCTTATGGTTGTGTGTATTGGAAGGTTCGTGTCATTTGAAGGGTTTATTGTAGGCTGCGTGACGTATTACGCGTCTGACAGACGAGATTTTTGAAAGTAAGTAAAAATGGCCGGTTACTCACTTGAATATACTGACAAAAGCTGTACTAGTTTCGTAACTAATTAATGTTAAATTAATTATTGTTAAAAAAAATAAAATCTGCGTTTAAAAAACCGACTTCAAAAACTAGCTTCTAAAAGTAAAAAATAACTATTAAGTATTAGTACTCATAGGTTACCCACCCCCACCCACTGATAGTTTAGAAGTCGGTGCCATAAGTTCTATACAAAATTATTCATTAAAACTTTAATAGATACCTAATGTACAATTTTTTAGCCATTAAGTTATATCATTATGATATGAGCCTAGTCGTGTATTGATAAATATATTCGCTATTCAATAGAAGGAATTGGGATGATGAGAGGGTATGAAAATTAAAAATATAATTAGTCAGTAAGTTAGGCAATGAAAAAATATTAGACACTTATTTTTTATTTTGTCGTATAATAAAACAATACTTACATAAAAAATATACATAGAAGTGACGTCACGGACATTTCAAATCAATATATCGTCGAAAGTATTCGTTTCTGTAACAAAATAAAACATACGTGTCTAATGATTTAAAATAATCTACCAGACGGACATTGAAATAAAAATTAGGCATCTACCCTATTCTGTTAGGTAATATTTATTCATTCATATCTTTGTGTACATAATATAACAGACAGTGTTACTTTGACAAAATATTTAGGATTAACACGAGGTAATGGTTTTCTTTCGGTTGGTTTCGGGGAATAGCAATTGCATTTTGGTCGAAACTCCATTTCCAACCAATCTCCTACAACTTAAATTATATCTCATCCCCTATTACATGGGACTTATAACATAAATAGAGAAAAGTGGGTGTTGATTGTACAGTGGCATTAAGAGCCGTAATGTGCACCTTTATACCCCGTATGTTATGTAAAATATAAATTGTACTCTATCTAATAGCTTGCTTATCGTTTGATACCCATTTGGTTAGAACATAATAATATTTTCACTAGTGCATGTTAGTGCCATGTAGTTGACTGCCTCATTAACCGAGTGGTCGCAAGTGCGACTGCCCGGTAAGGGGTCTCAGGTTCAATTCCAGGGTCGGGCAAAGTATTACTAGGTTTTTTTTTAAATCTCGGTAGTAGCACGGAGTCTGAAATGTCTTCGGTATATGGCAATAGGCTCACCCCTATTACATGGGACTCATAACATAAATAGTGAAAAGTGGGTGTTACATTGTATAGTCGTATTAAGTGCCGTAATGTGCACCTCTGCTGTACCGTAATGTGTCTATGTTATGATAGGGCCACAATCACAACCAAACTGATTTTGACATAATAGCACTTTTCTATGTCATTTATGGCACTAGAACACAGATTGTTTGAATAAAAAAGCAATTCTGTTGGTATTTTATTAGATAGACAACTATAAAACAATGATTAATGTCTTTAGTTATGGTTCTCGAAAAATGAAATGGTATTATTGTTTGGTACTGTATTTAAAAATGTATTTCAGTTATCTGATTGCTTTATTTATTTCATATTTATCTATAGTTTTTAGCATTTCAATAGATATAATGATTCATTAAAAAAAATACTTGCTTTAAAAAAATGTTGCCCAACACGTGCATTTTCTCCAGTGTCTATAGGTACTCTCTCTTCGAATTTCGTACTGTATCCACTATTTATGAACATAACATAACATAACATCACGCCTTTTATCCCCGAAGTGGTAGGCAGAGGTGCACATTATGCCACTGTACAATGTAACACCAACTTTTCACAATTTATGTTATGAGTCCCATGTAATAGGGGGTGATCCTATTGCCATATACCGGGCACAATTCCAGACTCCGTGCTATTACTGAGATTTTTTTAAAAACCCAGTTATACTTTGCCCGACCCGGGAATCGAACCCGAGACCCCTTGCCCGGCAGTCGCACCTACGACCACTCGGCCAACGAGGCAGTCTATTAATGACTGATAAAGTATTAAGAGCTCAGTAAAAATCCTCACAACCCCGGTTATTGATTCAAAAAACAACACAAGAAGTTACAACTAGAAATATTTTATTTATAACTTAAAACTACTAATTAATATCATAATAACACATTTCTGTCACACTTTAAAAGGGTCAGGTGTGTTTATAAACGTAGCATTAGTCAGTCCGTTTGTCTGTGCTTGGTACAACACGTCATTGATCAACTTCTCTGCTAGGATCCTCATGTTCCCGGGAAGGTTGCGCAGTTTCGCGGCCACATTTACACCTGAAAAGAAATATTTTATTTATACTTTAGATGTAAAAGATTTTTATACATAGCTTTTAATCAATGCTTATCGTGTGGGAGAGCCATGCTTTGGCACGAATGGGCCGTCTTGACCGAGGTGATACCACGGCCTCACAGAAAACCGACGTGAAGCAACACTTGCGTTGTGTTTCGTCATGTGAGTGAGGTTACCGGAGGCCCAATTACCCCCCGTCCCCCGTCCCCATCTCCCCTATCCCTGAATCCCCAAATTCCTACTCCTCTGCTGTTCCATAGGCAACGGCGATTGCTTACCATCAGATGATTTCGAGACGTTCTGATCGTTAATCGGTTTATCCCATAAAAAAACTCAACCTTGAAAAATAATTAATAATTTGTAGTTTGCCTTTTGACACTTTCAGACTGATACAAGACTTGGGTACCTATATTTTTTATTCTAAAGTAGGTACAACACTAGCAATTCTGATTAATAAAAAAAATAATTTGATCAAACACTAGTCGAGTTTTACTCTTACATATTTAAAGCTTAAGTTCATTCACAGACATTGACATTAAAATACTAAATATTCACACACAAACTCCCATTTCATTCCCATATTCATTGGAAATTATCCTGTGAGTCTATTAATACTGTGGGTATTATTATTAAGAATAGGTGAATATATTTCTGGGTATCTATTGTTTTAGGCAAGGGTCCATCCGGACTTTAAAGTTCAATGAACCGAGACATATGGATTCAATTAACTTATATCATGAGATAGTTGGAATGTAGGCTATTAATTTTGTATTAGACCAGTTATTATGTCGAACAATATGTAGAGGTATAGTAGTATATTGAAGACATGAAATCAATCTTGGTTTGAAAATACTTCTGGAATCACAAACGTTTATCTATAATGTGATTTGGAAAAAGTAATAGTATAAAACAAAGTCGCTATCCGCCGTCTGTCTGTCCCTATGTATGCTTAGACCTTTAAAACTGCGCAACGGATTTTAATGCGGTTTGTTTTAATAGATAGAGTGAGTGTTTTAATAGATTCTTAAGGAACTTTTATATACTAAACTACTATATAATACATGCATAACAGAAACACTGATAAATTCAGAGATTTCTAAATGCACCCGTGCGAAGCCGGGGCGGGTCACTAGTAAATAAATAAGAGGGACAAAACTGGAGTTAGCACCAAGTGTCAATCTGGTGTTGCGAGTGTCCATGGTGGCGCTAATCGCGTACGAACTATTGTGTGAATGGACTACACTCATTATTTGACCACATTATATCATATTACAAAGATTTATTTAACACAGCAGCCTTAACATGTTACATTAACTATTATTGTCCTTAAGGTTACTTTCTTTTTTGATCACTTTGACTGGATTTTGGTGTTACATTGTTCTCGCACAATCCAAACAGCAAAACTATGTAACTAGTAAATTGTATTGTGAACCTGATTGAAAAAGAGTAACCTATGGAGTTTCTGGCTAGTTCTTCTCCATAGGAATCTACACCTTGGAATGAGCAAATAGCT